ACGGGCCTCTAAATGGACCACGAACTACACATAACTCAGGTTCAATCCCAAAGTCCCATATCGTCTACGTGAGTTTTCTCACCCCTCCGTAAAACAACCCATGTGGGACGGATTTAAAAAAAAGAAAATTCTTACAACCCGAGTTTTTGTTAGGTTATAAAAACCCGGTAAATTCAAGATTTGTTTAAAATATATTTGGATTTAAGGGAATAACTCGTGAAGTAAACATATATCAATAACATTCTTGAAGAAAGGTTGCACTTATCAGTTGGGAAAAGTGCAATTTCAGGAATGAGGATGGTTCAAAACGTCAGTGAACGGGGGGACAATTGAGTTGAGAACTGTAGTTTAATTTGATGCGAGGTAAAGTTTGCCTCCGTTCAATTGTCCCCAAGTCCATTATATCCAGTTGCCGAGATAACCGATGTAACTGTCTTACTCCGGCCGTTGTTCTCCGCCCTAACTCGACAATTAACCAAGTCTTAACAGCGGGCCATGAAAGTGTCACAACTTGCGGGCATCAACATACCGACCCATTGTCCTAACGCAGCAGACAATGCCACAGTTTGCCCAAGTTTTCGCTTTTCAAAAAATGCACACTGGCAATTTCCATTCAGGATTCGTGAGACTTAAACGTTTCTTTGTTTTTGAATTTCCCCATCCAGCGTTGCAAATTTCGATATAATAATAGACCCTACTATATTTCGAGGGGGTCAAAATCGACCATTTAAAGCAAGAGGTAGCTTGAGAACCTTTATATTCATCAGTTTGTCTGCTATTATCTATTATTATTAGTATCTAAAGTTTTACTTCTTGCAATCTAAAGTGATTGGGGGCCGCGGTAGCCGAGTGGTTAGCGTGAGAGACTCTCGACTCGTAGACCCCGCGGTCGTGTGTTCAATTCCCACCGTCGCGTGTTCAATTCCCACCGTCGCCTCTGGCTGGCCTTTTTTTCCCGCTACCCTTCCCCCCCAAAACGAACACGCATAATAACATTGTCATTGGCTAATATGCACAGAATATAAAGCCATTAAACTCGCTTTAATTGACGCTTTCAACATTCTACTTTCCTGCAAGTTGTTTGGCGGCAAATGCTTGTATTTCTGCCATGATATCATAGATCTTAAGGTTGCAAGGTGCATTGACCGTTTGACGTAAGGATTTTTTGGAATGCATGTATAATAGTATCGACTTTGCTGAGTTTCGTACAATCCCACAGTTGAATGCTATAGTTCCACATAGGCTTTACGACTTGTTTTTATAATAATAATTTATTTGTATAGAAACGTTGGAGCTGCGTCTTACCAACTAGTATACATCTCTACACCTTAAATCTGTCATTTTTTTTCTTCATGTGCTCTTTCCATCAAAGCTTGGCATCTAAGGTCCTTCCCCGATATTTAGCTGTATCGCTGTATGTTATATATGTTCCATGGATGTCTATCTAATAAAATAACAAAACAAGTCATTGTTGGTCTGCATCTTCTCACTTTTCTGTTTTACAATTGCTTTTAATGTCTAATTTTACTTAGAAGAATGTTAAATTTGGAATAGCTCTCTCTGCCTCACTCTCTTTCTTTCAATTGAATATATTTTTCAATCTCACTACATTTCTTTCTTATTTTACTCTCATTCATTCTGTAAGCCTTCCTATTTTTTATCTTCCATACTTTTTATTTCTCTGTCCCGTCTTTCTCTCTAACTATTTATTTATCAATTCTCTCTCTCTCTCTTTCTCTCTTTCACTCTCTTTCTCTCTCTCACTCTCTTTCTCTCTCTCACTCTCTCTCACTCTCTTTCTCTCTCTCTCTCTCTCTCTCTCTGTTTCAATTAAGCCTGCCTATTTTTTTTTCTTCTATACATTTTATTTTTCTGTCCTATCTCTCTCTCTCTTTCTCTTTTTCAATTTAATATATTTATTGTTTTATCTCTCTCTCTCTAACTATTTATCTATCTATCTTCCTCTCTTCTTCTATACCTTATCTTCTTTACCTTCTCTCTCCCTCTCCCTCTGTCTCCATCTCTCTCACTCTCTACCTATCTATCGTCTAACTATCTATCTATCCACCTATCTCTTTCATTATCTACTTGACACTAACCGTCTCTCTTCTGTGTCGCGGTTAGTGCTATTTTATGATAAAGGCTGAATTTCGCTTAATTTTTGACTGTTTTCATAATGGTAATTTTCATACTCCAAATGGACGGACATTCGCTTTAATTCTAGAAAAAGGGCTTAAATCAAGAAAACACTGAACCTCTAAAAGTGCCCACGTAATAAAAAAAAACTCGACCTCATGGGCCTTATCCACGTCTACCGTCAATTTTCACTTGTTCAGGAGTTCTGGCTATCAATAACCTTTGAAATGCGACTGATTACCAAGTGCAATCTTGGCAAACATTTAATTTCCATAGATTTGAAAATAAGTTAATTTGTATTGATCTGATAGAATACGAATTAGAATGAACCCCCTCCCAATCTGTCGGAATCCTTTAAAACAAATATTTAATATTCAAAATGTCAAAATTGCTATTCGAAAACAATTGGAAAACCGTTAACAGGAAGATAAATTGGACCGTTCCAAGGCTACAAGTCAACCGCGTTTAAGTGTTATTAATTCAGCGGGGCGTTTCCTTTCTGGAGTGCATTTTATTTGAAGGCATATCGGAGATCAAAGATGCCGGCCTGATTATGGGTTTGGTTGCAAGGCCTGGGGCCAGAACCGGTTTTCGGACCATGGACCCTCTAGGCCCATTCATACTTATCTCTTCGGGTACATAAATTTAGTTTTAAAAAGTCACGAGAGCAACTGTTAATTAACATTAGTCTCGGACAATCCTTGACCCGTGGTCATCACCTCGATGCGAGATGGCTTAACCGGCGCTGATCTCCTGTGGTCAATGGACACATAATAATGGTAGATTATTTGTTCGCCGTTCCAAGAAAAGCATTTATTAGGCACGAGACACACTTACTTTACGTTCGATTTGTTTTATGTAAACTCACAACCATGGACAGAAGTCATGATGGAGTCATGATAATCAAGCAGGTTCAAATTCTTTACCGTGTTCCCACATCATTATATCATACCAAGCACACAAGTACTACTGTCTATATTGTATATACTACAGTCTGAATACAAAAATCAGTTTCTTTTATACTGTCTGAAACTTGCCTATTTGTTTTTCTCTACCCTCTTTCAAACAACACTCTTTTCAATTATGAGAATCCACGGTCTCACTATAAAGTTTAATGAAAAACCGTTTTGTACCAAACACCTCAATCGCCACAGAACTTTTGGTAAAAGAATACTCATTAAAACAAATAAACTAAAGTTTCAATCTAATTGTCCTGCGGAATAAACGTGAAATGATAGACGGGAATTGAAGTTGGGAAACTTTCGGGTTTCAGGTGAGGTGAACCACTCGGCCCGTCGAGACACTCATCGATCAGGGAGTGGCCAGAGGGTTAATGTACCATTGTCTGGGCCGATATGCAGCCCATTGTGTTCTACCTGAATGAAATACGACCTCCAGTCTATACAGGCTGGGACTGATGGAAATTGCTTAGGTCCACTTGGTAATTAACGCAACTTGGAGTTTGATTTCCACGAAATTCTTCAAAAAAGATGGATATAAAAATTCAATTATTCACTTATGTGAAATTGTTCAGTTAAAGCACATAGTGAAATAAAATAACTCGGTTACTTTTTATATCACAAAGAAATATTTTAAACCGTTGTCATTTCGTATCGATTATCCTCTTTCTTTTAAAAAAGACAGTTTGATCAAGAATTGAAAAAAAAAAGAAATGTAGAAAACAATGCGAAAGCTGTTCGAGACAAATCCACGATCCCGATTGCCCGCGACGGAACGAATCGGCCGCGGCAGCACCGCCCCGCCGCGACAAATGCCCTTTCAGATTATCCAGTCGGAAACAATTCTCTTCTTACGCTTCGTTTATCTCTGTGAGTGGATTTGGTCGCTAAGCCCAATCGGCAAATCTTGATTTACGACCCGGCGGTAAATGCCAAACTGGTCGAGGTCCTGTCGGAGTCAATACCGCCCCCCCCCCGGCGAACCCGTCGTCCTCATTAGCAATTGAAATGAACATTCGCTTATCACTCGACGCTCGCAAAATGAATGCACAAATTGTCAATCTAGCCTTGTTCACGGAAATGGAACGCTTTTTACCGCACTATCTGTTTTTATGTTTTATGGTTTTTTGGTGTGTGTGTGTGTGTGTGGGAGAGAGAGAGAGAGAGAGAGAGAGAGAGAGAGAGAGACATACAGACAGATAGAGACAGACAGACAGACAGAAAGAAGAAGAGAGAGAGAGACTGACCGACAGAAGGATAGAGAAATAAAGAAAGATAAAAATGGGCAAGATTAAAGAATGAATGCGACCAAATTAAGAGAGACAGGTAGTAAAAGAGAAAGGAAAAAAAAGAGAAAACATCAAATTGAAAGTAATACAGATATATGTGAGAAGGGGCGAGAGAAGAGAGAGAGGGGGTGAGTGAGAGAGTTGAAAGAGAATCGCACTTGCTTGAAATTGTGTTTAACATCACTCACGGTCTCAACATTTTTTAATTAACAAACCTTTGCTACACAAATTGATCCAAACGACCAGCTAAGTCATAAAATATCCACTAATTAAAATCGTGTCGGAGATCACTTTTGAGCTCGACTGCTGACGCAAGGTGCAAGTTTGAAACCGACTTGCTGCCCACCACACGATCCATCGAGAAAAATCATAAGTAATGGGCCGGTGGCATGATTTCCATGCTGGGTAGTCAGTGGCTCCGTTTTCCCCGGGCGTGCACGCACCCCTCGTGCTTACATCAAATCGACCTGACTATAACGCCAAATACGGTTCTCTTCAATAGCTTTATTGATAGATGTCATGAAAAGCCTGAGCGATTGTCTGAAACAAATATCATCTATTTTACGTACTAGTCTCTTGGTTTATGCTATTTTTAATTTTTTTTCTCTTGTTCCAGCCTCGAGGAAAGAAGCCGGCGAAGATCTCGAGGAAGTCAGTGGAAAGGAAATCGGCTGTTTCACGAGTTCCACGTGCTACAAAGCCGCCTTCGCAACCACCTGACCGAGGTAAGCTTAATAATAGTAATAAAAATAATGTTTATTATAGAAAAATGATATACCAGAATATAATTACATCTATAAACTTTGGAGTATTCACACAACCTTCACAACCGCAATGGTATAATGTACGAAATACATAACCTTTCGTAATTTTAAAACGTTCACTGCTGATGTCGCAACGGTGGGCTGGTTGGATCTATGCTGGCGTAAACTCTGTTTTTAAATCTTTAAAAAAATATTGGCCTAGTAAACAAATTAGAAGCTGAATGTGCTACCATGTTTAGGATGGTTTTTCGTAGGTTTAAATTTTTTCAATAGTGTTTTTTTTTTGTCTGATTATCCTCGTTCTTTTGATCTCCCATGCTCGTTACTTTTCGCTAGTGGTGCTTTTAGCGAGAATACGCAGACCAAAATGACGAGATAAATCATGCTGCAGGTTTATCATTGAGAGACCTCAAGAAGAAATTTGAAACAAAAAGTTTATACATGGCATGGCAAAGTACATTGTGTTTAGCCTTAGGTATTCGTACTTAAGCATTCGTAATTTATGCGTTACCTAACCTACTTATCGTTTAAATGATTCTCGAACTTGACTATAGCGGAACATAAGTACTATCAACAACCATCACATCACTATCAACATTTCAATATGAAAAGCCAAAATTGACATAATTACACTTTCTTTATTGAAAATAATTACCAACAATAAGCAATGATAAAAGAGATTGCGTTAAACGGACTGTTATGCGATTTTTATGCAAATCGGTTCGTTCCAGCGATGAAAATCTCGGCTGATTCCCATGGTATTCCTGGACACGCTCGCTTAAGCGTGGCTTGGGTAAACGCAAACGCCCGTTGTTATTCTCTTTAGAAGAAAAATGCTTTTCAGAACGCCAACAACCCAATTCGAGCTAAGTTGTTTACATTTTCCCCCTTCTGTTACTTTCTAATATTCTATTTAGCAAGCATGGAATAATTGGCAGAATAGACGTCCATAAACGTATACATATCCACTAAAAAATTTTACTTTGACCTCAGCGAACAATGTAGATTTTATTTTTAAAATGCTAAGATTATTAGTTCACATTTCTTTCTTCACAACTGTAAAGTTAAGCTTTGTCCCTTTTGCGTTCGTGTTGGTGAGAAGGAATTCCATCAAAAGCTACGAGTTTAAGTTTCGTGTTAGGTGAGATTCTAAGTGACAGCGCTTCCAGCTGGAACATTTCTTTGGAAACATCGAGTCCATCTCACAATTCTGTATGTATCACCTGCTCACCTGAGCGATTTTATTTTCAAGGATTTTTTTGCTATTGCCTTCTTTCAAAATAGTGGTACCGAATGGATGCGCAGGCACTCGGTCCGTCTACATTCTACATCATTGTTTACCCACTTAGAGACTTAACTGCTACCATCAATTAAAACACTTTGTCTTAAGCCGGACCATACTGCAAAAAATGACGATGTAGTTCACTTTTCTCCCTATATTTAAGGTGCACTACACAGCTAAAACGGTAGAACGATTGTTATTATTTTAGGAAATTTGGTCGTTACCGATCATTTTCGTCCGTTCATTTGGGCAGTGTCGGTCTGTCAGACGTCTTCGCCATTTCGCCATCTTCAAAGTTGTGTTCCTACATAGCAAGGAATTGTTTAACTTGAATAAGATTTGATTTGTACCAGAAAGTGATGTAAAAGTTTCTTTTCTGCCAAGTTGGTAAAATTTTAGCTTGAAAACAGAGAAATAACATATAAAATGGCGAAATGCCGAAAGTTGAAGGATGTATACAAAAGTCCTATCCTTTTCGCCCTCTTCATTGAAGAGCTTCCTTTACAGAGAAATATAAAATATTAGATGATTATTGCGGAAAATTGAATCTGACTGTTAATGTCGCCAAATCTAACGCGGTAGTTTTTAAAAAGGGCTGCACATTTTCTCGGGCTACCGTTTTTATTTCAAAGGATTACCTGTTCAATTTGTCTAACAGTACAAAGCAGAATTCTCAGCACTAAAGCTTTCTTGCTTATTGTTATTTTTCTTGTTCGTTAATCAGTTTAATTGACTCGATCCTTCCTTTAAAAAGTAGTAGGTCACTGACTGTAACATTATAGCCATTTGTTGTTGTTTTTTTAATCACTGGTTGTTTAATAATTTTTTGAATTCGATTTTTAAACAGTTTGACCACTCCTCAAGAATCCGAAAAATTATTATTGCCATTCTTTTCCCGGGTCTTCTTGGTACCTAGGTTATGTCTCCATTGAGCTGTTGCTTCTCATTCGAAGTTAATAAGGCGGGCTGTCTCTTCCTCCTCATCGATAACTTACAAATGGCTTTATCATTGTTGTATATGTGTTTTTCAGCTGGTAGTGATCAGTTTATAGCCTAGCCATATCGATCCCCTAAGTTCTACCCTGTCTAACTGTAGCAAAGTGTTTGCTAGATTTGTTGAGAGTTCTTTAATTATGACTCTTGAGTTTTCTATGTTCGGTAGGTTTTGGAACTTTCGGAAGCATTCACTGACTATCTTGGTTCTTACCGTTTTACACGGAAGGTTTGGCTGTCTGATCTTATGCGGGAGGATATTTTGATCAGAGTAACCACTTTTATTTTATTTTTATTTTTTGACGGCATAGGCATTGATATCATATTTTTCTCATTGAAAGACGAGATGCTTCCCCAATGAGTTGATTACTCGGGTTTTGAGTTTGCACAGAATTTGCCATTTGTATACCAATACAATTATTATTGATTTCTTCTTCTCCTTTAAACTAGGTTAAAACTTTATAATAGAATATTGGAAAGGATGTTGTCGTGATCATATATCCTGTCCCCATTTCTAGAAATGGGTGTCTGATTTTATTTATTATTGTTGCATGATCGAAATGTCTAGTCCCCATCCAATTTGCCAGTTTTTGTAGTCTGTCTGAGTTTTTCCTAGTTTCTAGGTTTAATAGTGTTTCTAAGGCAGCTGGTGGGGTTGTATGTCAACTCCTTGAATCCAGATACATCAGACAATAAATGTTGCAATTGATCAGATTATTTTCTAACGCCAATTTTCTTCGTTTTCTCAGTAATCAGTATAGAAATTCTAGTGTCTAATGTGTAGATTCCTAATGTGTTTGCTTCCTATAAAGTTTAGATAGAAACAGAGGAGGCGGACCTGCGCGGTTACGAGAGTACAGGCATATAATAATGTTTTTGAGTTATTAGTGGAAGACATGTCAATGTTTATACGTGAATAATGTAAGTGTTATTGGTTTTGTATATGTAAAAAGAGTTAGTTATTCGCGTCTTTTATGCAGTTGTGACCCGTTCAACTTGTCCTTTCAAACGGCAAGAGTTAGTGAAGTGGATTAATAATCCAGTTGACGGAATTTGATTCCCTCGACAGCATAATCGATGTGGAAGAGGGTGTTTCGTGTCGGTCCGCCCGGTAATGGCACGGCATGGCGGGCCCATCAATCCGCGATATTGACCGGTTTTCAAAGGTCTCACAACAGAGAAAAGCCATCCGTGATCCGGCATTTATTGCACGGAGATGCACTCGCATGCCCAAAATCAAGAATATACACTAAAACTCTTTTTTTTTCCTTAATTAATACAACAATAAAACCCCGGCATACTTGTGAAAGTGGAGAGTCGATTTGTAAATAGATAAACCGGTCGATGGGGTAAACGGCCCCCCTCAACGGGCCTTATCCGATATTTAGAATCACGCAACGTCGTTAACTCGCTCCGAATTTGGAATAGGACAAAAAACATACAGGCTCACGAACATTCCTGTTTTAACAATTCCTAATCATGTTGCCGTTTAAAAATAAACAAAATCAAAGCCTCTTTCCTTTAAATCACCATACAAGCACCTGCGTCTACTACTTATAATTGTGTCTGTGGTTTCATCCCTCTGAGATTTGTAGGTTGGTCCTTTCCTAACATTTAGGTCTACCTTACTTATCTTTTTTCTGGGTGTGAAGATCCAAACATCAAGAGGTTTGGTCAGAGCAAAAAGATCTGACCAAACTATAAGTTCATTGACCCATGTACCTCAGCAGGAATTTCCACAATCTATGGGATATCTTAGTGCATAATTTATCTAGAAGATTAGGTAATGAAATAAAAACTTTCCCGGGTAAAAAAATTAATCTGCCTTTTGGTTCAAGCGCACGGCTTATTAATTAAATGTAAACCATCTATGAATTTTACAATACTGGAGAGTGATCTTAATCTTTCAAAAATGCTTTTTCCAAAAATAAACTCTATGTTATAGGGACAAAGTTCTACATGTTTTTATATAATTGAATTGTTTATCAATTTGAACAAGGAATGAAAACATTTAATCGTTTTTTATTAAAAGTTCCAAATAGGGTGGGTTAATGTTTTTTTTAAATTTAGTCCTTTTAAAAGAATTGAATTATTGATCAATTTCTAGCAGAGTTTCCACCGAAAGCTACCTTAATCCTTAATCCATAATCCTGAAAACATTTAGTTGCTGAAAGATCCTAATCCTTTTTGAAAATTCAATTATTTCTAATATCTATCAGGGTTTGCACTGGAAGAAATCTTCATCTTTAATCCAGAAAACATACGGATGCTTTTTAATAGAGTCTGTAATCGAAGATCTTTAAAAAAAATAAGTATCTTAAAAAATTATGTTAATATTTTTCGCCCTTGTTCCGCTATTCATTGTTTGAGTCTACTTGTTTTCTTGTATTTATGTCTTTTCTTCTTTTCGTTTCTTTTAAGCTACGTGGTAATAGGTATGATGCGAGAGACTTCACTGCTATCCTCCCGTGCTTAATTTTAGCCTATAATAAACAAGTCCTATACTGTTTCCTATTGCATTAAACATTGCCCTAATTAATCTTTATATAGGTGTTGGTTAAGATAAAAAGTCAGTGTCACGAGCGGGATTCGAACCCACGATCTTCGGCTAAATACGCCGCTGCTCTACCACTTGAGCTATCGTGTCTTCGATCCACTCGGTCACCAACTTCCCATCTCAACCCCA